TTGCAACATCCCTAAACGCCAGTGGCCCGCCGCGGGCCGCCGATAGCACCTACTGTGGTTCTCTTGTGTCAACCAACGGAGTGCCATCTCGTTGCCTCTAACGGTCCGCCAGAGGTAACATGCTGTAATGTTAGTGGCATACACCCCATGGCAGATTGGTGGCTTTCGTTTACGTATCTCGCGTTGTATTGGGGATAAATGATACATTTCCGATTTGCTAGAATCCGCATTTTGATAGCTGCGTTGGCCGAAGAAGTTCTTTCGATGGCTGGAAGAAGCTCAACGTGAATTATCCCACTGAAATGCGCATCAAACGAACAGCAACAATTTCATTGGATGCAAGCCCGCTTTAGCCACGGGTTCTGCACATTCACAGGTTTATTTCCTGATCCGATTGTTCCGAACGTTAGCATGACTGATCCATTTGTCATCGTAAATGAAAATTCTCTCTGAAAGAATGGTTCGTGGCGTAACTGTAAAGATATTTCACAAAAACATGGCCGAGCTTGTGGCACCCACGTCTTGTGTGTGGGAAAAAACTCAAGTCTCTTCAAATAGCGAAAGTTAGACGAACCATCGGTTTATTCTCCACGATGGCAAGCAGAGCGTCTTCATCGGCAACATCAACGACAGGAGCGTGGTTGATAGTTTAGGTTAAAATCACCCAGATGAAAATCTACCAAACCACTTTTTTACCATGCGAAGAGCTCGAGCGAGATAATTTCGTGTGAAGCATTACATCCTCAAGAACTTCATCGAACCAATGGTTACGTTGATGCGATAACTAGTGCGTTGTATCACTATTAAATATATTTGATCTACTATAGTGATCTACTAGTAGGTCACAGTCTGGATTACTTCCGAGTGTGCTGGTCAAACTCTGTGCCTCCGGACAGAGAGGTCTCCCCAGACGACGGGCAGAATTTCGTCTCGGAAGACAGCTACCTGTCCCGTTTTGCACAGAGTTTACGGGGAATTTTTGGCCGAGCCTACGGTCTCGGTAATCTACAATAAACTCGGCCTTGTGCCACAGCCGACCACGAGGGGCAGTTAGTAAATATCATAACTAGTGCGCTGGGAGGATACGAGACGATGAAATTTTAAAATTTAAATTATTTTTTTAATGTTTATTTTTCTTTTTGTTGATGTTTTTATCATCATTTATTATTAAATATTCCACATTGCGATAACAGAACATTTTCTTAGGGCAATTCACCCTAAGTAAGGCGGGAGTGCCACTAGTACGCAAGGGGTTACAGAGGATTGAGAACAAGAGTAAAAAGACGTGTTTGAGGAAAGTATACAGAAAAGGACGGGGAACAAGCCCACGGTGTCAAATGTCGATTGACATTACACTTGAATATTTTAAGATTATAGTCACTGAAGAAGTAAGTAATGGGAGGGGAGTTCCACAGATTGGAAGTGCGGGAGAAGAAGCTGTTTGAGTAGAAGAGACGGTTTCATTTACCAAGAAAAGGGAAATATTATAAGAACAGAATCAGAATGCAAATTTAATGTGTATGTTCTAGCGATTAAAGCTATTTCTATACATTATTTCTTTTTCATTAAAGCAAAGTAGCATTATTTAAATCAAAATTATGTTCGGGCTCATTACGGTGAGCAAATAATACCTTGAGACTATTGAAAATTAACCCCATACTGTTCATATAATATATTATTTATTTCCCTTGAGGTTTCTTCTTTCTTATCTTTTAGCTACAAACAAGGCAATAAAGCCTCTAAGACGAAACTTTTAGATAATATGAGAAAAAATAAACAATAAAAGAACAGGAACTAAGAAGACAGAAGAAAACAACACTGACATTGTATTTACATTTTTGAAAGTCAAAGTTAAGCAGGAAATCGGAGGAGATTTCAACAAGTAATAGAAGAAACTACTAACATAGAACCTCCGGTTACATCTACACATTTCAAATATAAAATGATTAAACCTTACGGTCAGTCTCGTACTGCTTTTATACTCATAAGGTCTACGTACCAGAAAGGAATGATCACGAGAACACTTTTAATGAAAATATTTATAGAAAACGCGCTAGTAAGCTACGTTATTACAATGAGAATTAATCCAAGGTACCACGTTAGGACCAATAACATTACAAATTCCTCTTTGTATTTTATCGAGGATCACTAAATATATACCACAATCACCAGGCCAGATTGGTAGTAATATTCAAAGCATGGACAAATGGTAGACTTATAAATATCTAATGAAGATACTGGCGAGAAAAATTGTCTAGCCCGACACTGAATCAACTTTCCAAGAAGTAGATGTATCAATTGATTCAGTATAATCTAAGCACTTCATCTCAGCGGAAAACATTAGTAGGAGGAGGCGCAATAAGTTACTTTTTCCTTGAGTGATTGATTCGTTTTCTACGACTTACAGCACCTGGTACTTCCAAGTGGTAACCCATCTATGTACTTACGAGGCTCGAAGTTGCTTAACTTCGGTAATCATACGGGCACTGGTGTTTCAACGTAATATACCCGTGAGAAAAAAGTCTTCTCATAGGCGAGTAAAAGAAAGTAGTTTTGTTTTGGAGACGTTAAAACTAACAAGCCATTCCTTGCTCCAATTAACAATAACTTATTGCTCATTTTTATTGACCGTATTAAACCGACAAGACATAGTATTAAGACAGGAGTAAATAAATGTGTTATCAACATAAATACCAATTTGGGAATCAATGGCATCCTATGTATTCCTAGTGGCAATTAATTTTTAATTTTTTAATCATTTCACAGCATGAAAGATTGCTGCATGTGAAATACTTTTAAAACTGGAACATAATTTAGGAGCGAAAACAATACAAAAGTAATCAGCTATTTACATTAATCTTTTGGATAACAATGTTGGCTGCAAAGCTTGGAGCCGAAAGAGAGGTTCCACAAGCAAGAAGTGCGAGAAATAAACTGTTAGCATAAAACTTACGGCTAATGAAAATTGAAATCTTGTTTCTAATCTAGTACCGCGCTTAATTCCATAAAATCTAGCCACTCATCTCTAGCGAATAACTCACCTGAACATTAACCATAAAACCATTTTTTTAAAGCAATTGACCCCAAGAAAGGCAGGAGTGCCACTAGCACGCATGGGGTTACACAGGATTGAGAACATGAGTAAAGATGTGTGTTTGAAGAAAGGATGTAGAGAAGGACGGGGAACAAGATCAACGAATCAGAAGATGTCGATTGACATTATACTTGAATATTTGAAGATTATTCTTATCAAGGAAGAAATCAAAAGGAATGGATGTGCACAGACGAGAAGTGTGAAGGCAGAATCTGTTTGAGTAGAAGAGATGGTTATATTTAACCGTGTTCGACAGTGAAATGGTGGGACCGAGAAATTTAGAGAAATGGCACAAGAAAGTGACTTTAAAGCAGAAAGTGATGACGCCGAGTTTAGCACCCTTAATATTGCTGATTCTTTTTAGGATTTTATGAAGAATATCTAAATATATGGAATGGGGCACCGGGCCATAATTGGTAGCAATATTTAAAGTCTGGACATATGGATGTGTAAGAGAGATGCTGGATGGCACAACACAAGGAGCCAAATTTCTTAGCAGTAGTCCTAGATATGGATTCAATATACTCTTTCCACTTCATTTCAACCGAAAATTTTAGCCCGAGGCGGCGCTGCGAGTCTCTCCCTTGGAGGTTAATGAATCACCTTCGCAGTTGATAGATTAATTACCTCCTTCAAGTTTTATCTTAATATTTTCTACAGGATAATGATTCTGCTTCTTCTACTTATTATTAACTGGCAGTATAGCCCGGCGTTGCCCGGGGATGTAACAGTAAGAGATAGATCAAGTATTGACCATCATAAAGACTGAAAAATAAAATTGACTAATATTATTGTTTAAGGTCGACGGACACGCATGTCTTAATTAGGTTTTTTGTTTTTTGTTTTTTGTTTTTTTTACGAATTGGTCAAACCTAAACTCAAACAAAAACATTGTTTTCAAGCGTTATGAGTATCGATTGAATAGAATTTTATTATAAACAATTGTCTTGAAAATGGAATTTTGAAAGCATTCTGAATGTAAAAAAAAGAAAAAATGTGTGCAAGACAATAAGAAACACTACCTTCCAAAAAAAAGTGAAGTTTTGTTGAAATCGGTTGAAAAATGTAGGAAATCCGAACCCATATATAAACGAACACACACACACACACACACACACACACACACACAAACCTGGCTTTTATAATATGTATAACTCACTATGAGTTGTCTCGCTTTCATTCTCGCGACAGCGATGCCAGTTAATCGTGTTTTCAAATTGATTTCGTGCAAAAACAGTTGTGTTTTTCCAATTTTGGCGCTGTCAGAACCACCGCAAGGTAATTGTACGTAGTCCTGTGAAGTTTTGTTGAAATCGGTTGAAAAATATAGGAAATCCGATCCAATATATAAACGAACAGACAGACACACACAGACACACACACAACCTGGGTTTTATAATAAGTATGATGTTCTTTTCCGAATTCTTCCAGTAACCCCTTGTGTTTTAGTGGCTTTACTACCTTTCATGGGGTGAAAATGATTTAAAAATAATTTGCAATAATTGTGTAAGAATATAAGTAGCTGGGACGCGCAATGTTGCAGATTTTGGGAGTAGTTTAATAGAATTTTCCTCAATATAAGTCTCAAAAGCTCTTATAATAGAGGGTGACAATCGAAATGGAAATACTGAAAGAGGTGAGAGATCATATGTTAGGAGGCTAGAGACTATAACAATACGAAGGATTGATAATGATGGACCCTTCAAAGATCAAACATTAACTGAACCCAATTGTGGCAATAGAATAAGCACTTCTCATTTCCCTTCTCGCTTTTAAAAATCCACTTTAATAAAATAAACTTTTTCAGTGCTAAAGCTGAATTAGTCAAATAAATATCCATAAGTTTTTACTTGTTATATTATAACAATTATCGATACTAATAAAAAAGATATATTATTCCTGCTTTGTTTATATTAATGCTCAAGTAGAATAATTTGGAAAAAAAAAGGAGAAGAGACATGATCAAAAAAATTCTAATGAAACAGAACGGTTTTTTCTTCGCTTTCTGGGTATCCAAAATATACACAAACACTGCATGAAATACTCACTGGGCTGATAGTTGGACGTACAATCAGACAAATTTGGACAATTGATGGTGTCATCTGTGAATATGTCGGCTACATCATTAGTTTCGCAAATCCATTTTATATGATTTCATATCTCAATGCTGTAGCTGACTACTATCAAGTGAACAAATGCAGAGTTGGTGCTGACTAAGTTATGCACGACTTGGATTTGAAAATCAGCCCAGCAATGGTGATGAATGACGAGGCAATGGAAGACAAAATGCAAAATGACACCATCAACACAATGTGTCACTGAACAATTTTAATCCTTCTACCCGAGCTTCTGAGTCAAAATTCGCAAATAATTGGTATGTAATTTTTCACGTTTTAATAGTTACAAAAATATAAACATTATAATATGTAGAATGATTTCTCGTGAGTTTTGTCCCTGATTGCTTCCCAGACGTCCAGGTTGAGTCTCTTCAAGTTTCATGGTAAAAACGTTCTCTTTTTTTCATCCAAAATACATGCGCATAACACAGTGAAAGGGCGCGGATACATTGGTATAACGTTCGATGACATCGGAATATTACTGCTATTTTTTTTTTTTTTTGCTATTCAAAATAAGACCACAATTAGCAAAACACGACGCAAGTGCATACCCACCTATTTTCTCTACCAATATTCAGCTGATTGATGGCTGAGCATTACGTCATTTTTCTCTACCACCGATAAACCGGTGGCCAGAGCTCAAAGTTTTGATCAAGATTTTCTAGGAATTTCTCTTTTCGGCGATGCTTACAGAAAGTAGCAGTGAAAGATTGTTTCCAAAATCGAATAAGAAGTATACGATGCAAATCAGCCAATAATGAAAAATGCAAGAAATAGTTACATATTTCCGAAAGAATAGAACTATTTTTCTCTGAGAGCGTAGGAATAAATAAATAAAAATAGGCAATCTTTGCTCAAAAACATTGCGCTCTTTTTACACTCTTTTCTCTGTTTTCTTTCTTAATATATTCCGTCTGTGTGAGTTTATTTTCGCAATATTTAATATCACAGTTATGTATTATTTATAAAAGGATGATGTTTACAAAGAAAAAATATTACTGACGTTTTTGAGTCTAAAAAATTCTTCAGTAAAATTACCCCCACCACAATATTGACAATAATAAGACATGTTTGAAGGAAGCGTGTATCTCATATTGATGCACAGGTTAATGTAAAAAAAATAACAACAACAACAAAACACGTTTTGTCGTATCTTTGGTAGAAAAGATACAATGTTTCTCATTTCTTGATTTCGTTTTTCGCATCATTAATTTACCTTATCATTTTTTTTAAATACGAAACAGAACGGAACGAAATACGTGTGCCGGTTTCGAAATTTGAATTAATTCATATAACTCTGTGTTGAAATAACAATGAAACAAGAGAAAGCAGTGAAGTCGTCAGCAGACGTTTAAGCAAAAGTAAGCTAAATAAAAGTAGAAGGTACAGAGAACGTGACATGACAGTAAAAATATCGAAACTTTTCAGATCATACAGGATCTGGCCAATTCGTTCCCATATCGATACCGATTCGTGACATTGGTGTGCTGATAAATCGGCAAGATTGTTTTCGTTAAGATTTTCTTTCGCACAGTGGTGTATTTTCTTTTTCATTTGATGAATAGTTCTCTTTTGTTTGTTTGCTTTCATGTTGTCGTTTTTTTTTCAGTGATGGTGTTTAGATAACATTTTTAAAATCTTCTCTCAAACATAGATTCAATTTCTTTAAAAACTGAAGCCCGAATGTCTATGTAGGATACAATGGTACTTGTTCGTGATTAGAAAACACACACGACGCCAAGTGGGCTCTAAATAATTTTATCTGCGCCTGGTTTTATAACTGTGTAGACAGTGAAATCTGAAAGTGAGAATTTCAGTGAGACGTGGCCATGATTAAAAAACACACACGATGCCAAGTGACCTCTAAATAGTTTGATCTTGGCCTGCTCATATAACTGCTTAGATAATGAAATCTAAAAATGAGAACGTCAAAAGCAAACGCAATTTTTCTATAAATAGCTAGAACAAAAATGAGACAATGTAGATAAATGAGTATTTTGGGATCAAGTACAATTTTTCCGGCAGTTAGCCATTTCCGATCGCAGGCTTATATTACCGGAGTTACAGAAGGAATGAACCACTCTTTACAGCTGATTATTCGGTAGTGTAAAGTTTTAGTACAAAATTCCTGGCTTATTGATAACATTAAACAATTTTTTTTGTATACCAGCCAAAAATATCTTAGACTAAAACAACCTCTATCCGCTGATATGAATTAGCTGTCAGCATTTTAAAATAATACTGAGAAATGGCGACTAGAACATATTATATCTAATTTGCAGAGCCATT